GTGAGATTTTGCTGCACTCACATATTAAATGTGAAACAGTTTCAACTTTGTTGTTGGAAAGTCGGCAGTTTGGATTGTCAGTGGAATTTTGTATCTTCATTTTCTTTTCTTTTTTTTTAAACAAATTTTATTAGTTTTACGAAACAATACACAAACAATCAAGGCATAATAACATAAAAGACCTTTTCTAAAAAAAAAACAATAGATCATACAAAATAGTTCCAAATTGTAATATATATATTTACGTTATCTGTTCAACCTCGTATCTTATCCCAACTTCTCCTTTTCATTCTATTATCCAAATTATATTTCTTGCTAATTAGAATTTTATTGCCTTTCAAAAACAATACACAAACATACAAAACATAAAACATAAAAAACATAAAACATCTTTTCTGAAAGCTGCTTGATCCCGGGTTAAAACTCTTCGCACAGACACAAATTCAAAAATCATATTTACTTTATATATCATTCCATATCTTATTACCATTTTCAATTTTCTATATAGCTTCTTCCCTCTTTTATCTTTCTTATTTTTATTTTATTTATCTTATCTCAATTCAATTCATAATACTTATCATTCTTTGTCTGTTCTATTTCCAGCTATCCATTCATCTTTTCTCTTTAAATATACTTCTCCTGTACACTGATTGGAGTGATGCCTTTGACTCTTTCCCCTAACTTAATAATACTTAATATAATACTTAGTTTATATTGGGATTCTGTTTAGTACATTCTAAAATTACACAATAAATTTTATGAGAAAAACAAAAAACAAAATAAAAGCATATAAAACCACTATCAATACCATTAAAAAGCTAATCATATATATTGATACTCATTTATATCTTAAACATTTTACTCTAAATACACATATAAAAACACAATCTTATGTACCTTCCAGAATCCCTTTTTCAATTAGATTTACCCATTGTCTCTAAATAAGTTTTGTTTCTTTAAATCTTGCTTCCCACCATTAAGGCTTCTCATCCCCTCCTTTCTCTCTTGCTTATTTTTCTCCTTGCCCTTTTTACCCCTTTGTCTCTCCTCCTCCCTTTTCTTCTTCTGCTTACCCCCTTTCTGTTGTTTTCTAACCTTGTATCCACCTTTCATCTCATTTTTCTCTTTTTTGATTGTTTTTTCAAACCTTAAAATCCCCTTTTTCTTTTCCTCTTTCTCCTCCTCCCCAAAAGGAACCCATTGTTCATCAAAAATGGCTTCTTCTTCTTCTTTGTCTCAGTCATCCCGCTGCGTAGTCAATTTTTCATAAGTGCATACTGCCATTTCTAGAAATTGAAAAAGAGTGCCCAAAGTATCTTTTCCATCTTGTTCTTCTTTTTTATATTTTTGATATTCAATTTTTAGTTCATCCACAAGCAATGCCATCGTGAAGAGAAAAACTTTTTCCAAAACAACCACCCAAGTATTTTTAATCAAGAATAATTCCAAAAAGTTCCAAAGTCACCAAAGAATCCAAATAAACTATTTCTTTTAATACTTTTTCTTTCTTTCTTGTATTTCTCTTTCTGGGGTTACTGTTTAATCAAAAAGTTCCAATTAAGATATATCTTTCTTTAAAGTTCTAGGCAATCTCCTCCTTTTTCAAATTCTGCTCCAATTTATTTTTTTCCCCTCTCCCTACCCACTTACAACAACAATTTTCCTTTAATTGTTCAGAAATCCATACCTCCAATACAGGCTTTCCGATTTCTTAAGTTGTTAAATCCAATGTCCAGGAATCCTTTATCGCTTGGCTTTATATGGGGTGGGAGAGTGAAGAAAAAAAAACTTTCCCTTGACAGCTTTCTCCACCGCTTTCCAATCTTCTTAGGGATACAATGTATCTTTCAGGCAATTCAAGCAATTCAGTTTCCAGGGTATTTAAAAGTTTTTATTCTCCCGGCTCAGCTAGCACTTTCACTTCTCCTGTTTCTTCTTTCTCCTTCTTCCTCCAGCACAATCTTATCCAGCTGCTGGCTTCTTTGTGGCGGCCGTTGCTGACCGCCGCTCCACCGCCTTGAGAAAAGGAGGTTATGCCGGGTGGGGAGGGGGTCTGCGATACCCCCTAACCCCTCTCCGGATCCTCCCTATCTTCGGCTGCCTCTACGGGGCAGCCTTATCCTCCAGATCCGTCAGGATCGGAGGCACCAAGACGGCTAGCGCAACAGGGATCACGCAGGATCGCGAATCCCAGCCGCCGCCGAAGCCTGGCAAACCGGAAGTTTCCGTATCTTCATTTTCATGGCATTAGTTTGTAGTGCTTGTTCTTGAGCAGCAAATATTAAACCTTCCGTTTCTTTCTTGATGGTTCCCATCTTAAGCCATGCCCATTTCAAGTTGTTATCACATTTTCCTTCAATGTTTTTCAAGTGCTGTCCATGCAAAGCTTTGGTTTTCCACGCATTTAATGTCATCTAGCTGTTTTTCCTTATATTCTGCCTTTGTTTCTATTGTTTTTATAATGTTCTCCGTTTTCACAGCCTCCAGCAGTTTCTCAAAGCCTTGAGCAAGTCCGGTAAGAAAATAGCAAGAGAAGGTAAGGGCGATGGCGGGGGATGAGAAGCGGCTGGCACCTCACTCTTGCTGTAACTTCTTCCGGCCCTTGTTGGTGCTGGGCATGCCTCAGTCTCTTGGGGAGATGTGCAATCTGTTCTCCACGCTGAGACACTGGCCTGACCCAGCCACAACCGACGTTGGCCTTGCTAACACGAGGGCTGGCGGGGTGGGAATGGGATTTGGGAGGATGGGATATCAGAAAGGGGGACAGCCCCACAGTGCCCAGTTGTGGCTTTAAGCTCAGGGCAGCAGGAAAAGGGGGCTGGCCCCACCGAACCTTGCATGTCCACCCGAGGTTCGGCTTGGAGAAAGCTGGAGCGCCCTCGCCAAAGATGCTCGCCCATCAGCCGGTCTCCCCCTCTCTCTGTATCTCTTTCTCTGAGTATCTCTCTCTATGTCTGTCTATCTGTCTGTCTGCCTGTCCCTCTCTCTCTCACTGTCTCTGTGTCTCTTCTCTCTCTTGGAAAGCCGAAACTGGGCCAAGCCAGCAAGCCCTCCTTGGAGCCTTTTATTTCTTCTTTTGGGAAATCTGGGCTGGGTGAGGAATAAGTGCCAGCCGCAGCAAAGGCTTCCCTTTGGGTGACCCTCCTCCTCCTCCTGCAACCCCCTAGCTGGCTGTGGCGGAGCTGGGAGGGTGAGCATGCGTCGGGAGACCCTCAAGCGAGAAGCCGGGCTCAGCCAAAGTGCAGCAAAGGTGCGCACGGGGCAGGCAGGCACTCACTTGAGGGTCTCCCTGTACGTGTACACCCTCCTGGCCCCACCACAGCTGGCCAGGGGGTTGCGAGAGAAGGAGGGGGAGGAAGAGAAGGGAAGCCTTCACCACAGCTGGTGCTCGTTCCTCACCCAGCCCAGATTTCCAAAAAGAAATAAAAGGAGTAGCAAAGAGCCCCAAGGAGCTTGCTGGCTTGGTCCAGCTGGAGCTTTCAGAGAGAGGGGGGGATACACACAGAGAGAGGGGGTAGAGAGGCATAGACACACACACACATACAGATACAGAGAAAAAGTGGGAGTGAGGGGAAGATAGGGAGAGAGAGATACACAGAGAGAGACACTGAGATACAGAGAGGGGGGAGAGGAGAGAGAGATACAGAGAGAGGGGGGAGAGAGAGAAGATAGGGAGAGAGAGAGATACAGTGAAAGAAGGGGGGAGAGAGAGAGAGAGACAGAGGGGGGAAGAGAGATACAGAGAAGAGGTAGAGAGAGAGGGAAGGGTTTTGTGGCTGGGTAGGCATGACTAGGGGTCATGTGACTGGGTAGGAGTGAGTGACATCAAGTTGGCCACACCCACTCAGGTTTTGTGGCTCCCGGTGTTTTTTTTTCTTGTAAGAAACAGGTCCAAATGGCTCTTTGAGCGTTTAAGGACGCAGACTCCTGCTATTGGCAAATATGATCTATGGAGATATTTTTTAAAAAGAACCATGCTCTTTACAAAATAAAACTAGAAAAACAAATGTGTTTCTTAATGTTTTGGCATTACAAACTGAACAAAGAAGTAAGTCAGTGCCCCATATTTTAGGAGAGAAATGACAACACAAAAACTTTTAAAAAGCTCCTTTATAAGCATCACTACAGACTAGATCTATTATGATTCATCTTTTCTTTTGTATATACGCATAGATGCTGAGAAGTTATGAAGGCACACAGAAAATTAAATAGTAACAATCTCTCCAACTAGTTTCATACAGAATTACATTCATACAAGACCTCATTTTCTTTATAACCTCTTGATGAATTCTAAAAGAAACTCCACATAATTGTCAAAGATATTGTACAAGATTTGAAAATGAAATGTCTTAAAGAAAATGTCTCTGGTTTGAGTGTTTAATATCCTTACATATGTAAATTCTCAGTCTTTATTTTGTCTGCTTGTTTCAATTCATTTGTAAATGTTTATATTTGACTCTGAAATTGATAAAATAATTGTATTTTATTATTGTGCTAACCTTTTTTTTCCCATCAGAGACATTTTATGCAAATAGCTGTAAGCACTTCACATTTTATCTGTCATTCCCAATCTAGGGTTGCATATTTGGATTTCTATGCTGCATAATTTTTCTTTATGGATGCCCAAGAATAAATCATTAGTTATACTGTAATTAGTTCCAACCAGTTGAACATTCTAATCTATAATCAACGGTGCATTCAAACAAGAAAAAAACGCTAAAGGAGAGTTTTGTTCCCATCAGTCTAGAGAAGCAAGCTCACAGATGCTCCGTTATATACTTCCCATTGACTTCTGTTACCCAGAAGAATTTAATTTGCATAGGAAAGGGAAAATTCAGACAACCTATTGTATTTTTTGATATTTTTTACCCCTACCCACTTTGACCTTAGCTTTGTTACTTCTTACCAAAAATGTTGTTCATTTTATCTTAACTTGCTATACAAATGCTAATAAGATAGCACAATGTAATTAATAGAAAACAAAGAGATCAATGTTTTTTTCAATACTCATTTTAATTAAGTCTATAAACAGTGACAAGGGACTAAGAAGTTTTAACATTAATTTGCAGCCTAATCTTAAACATTTATATAGCATTATATCTCATTAAATTTAATTAAACATACTTCTTTGCAAGTATTGCTCAGGAATTCAGAGAGAGACTCAGGTCTTGAAGGAGTTTAAGATGATCATGCAAAACTTTGACCGTAAGTCCAAAGCTGGCAGAATACAATCATAGTATTTCTTATTCAGATAGATTCCAAGCCAATCTTTCCAAAGGCTGTGGCAAACCATGTTCAATCTTCATAGATTCTGTAATATTAAAAAAGTGTTGATTTATATATGTTATCTATCCATCTATATTCAAAAGAATAATGATATAAATTAGATTATCTTGAAGTACATCTCACCATCCCTGTACTAGGATATTCAAATATGGCTTATAGTTATCTGGAATGCAATGAGTCTTTTACATCTTTATTCATTCACAGAAATAAGATTGGCAAAAGTTAAATTCTGACTTAATACCGTGTTTCCCTGAACAAAGACCTACCCCAAAAAGAAGCCCTAGCCTGATTTTCACACTTGTGCCTAAAACAAGCCCCACCCCCTCCAAAATAAGCCCTATTTAAGCCCCACCCACCATCTGGTTGTATGAGAAGGGATGAGGCGCAGGCTTAAAAATCAAGCTAGGGCAGGGTTGGGGAGGAAGAAGCTGCTCCACGCACCCCGCACCCACTTTCCTTAGGAATGCTGTGGCCAGGCCTCCTATGCTCCGACCCATCATGCCACTACCCAACTTGTTCTGCAGCCACTTGTGGCCGCTCACAACGGGATGTGAGCGCCTACTTCTTCCTGCTTTAGCTTTACCCTCATTCAGGAGCGTGGCATTTCACCTATCTGCCTTTTGCGAACTTTTGGCTGCACACAAGGAAAGCAGAAGCAGCAGAGACCCTGGCTTGTTTCTCTCCTCCAAACTCCGCCAGAATGAGTCTTTGAAGCTCATCGCGCCAGCTCCTCGCATAGCCTCTCATGCCAGAATGCTTCAAGGCTTGTTGCACGTGTAAACAGCAACACTGCTGCAAGCTTTATCACACTGGCACAGCCAATGTCCTGCAAAGACCCTGCTTGTTTCCTTCCCCAAACTCCGCCAGAATGAATCTTTGTGAGGCCTCTTGCACCAGCTCCTCGTGCAGCTTCTTGAAGCATGACGCTACAAGGCTTGTTGTGGCATTGTGCAAGCTTCATCACACCAGCACAGCTGGTCTCCTGCCATGAGCATCTGTGTCAGTATGTCAAACCTCACGGCAATGCAGCCGTTTCCGCGAGCAATGGCACAACAAGCCTTGCAGCATCCTGCTTCAAGTCTCAAGGGTCCAAGGCCGGACGTGGGGAGGACCAAAGCAAACATGGGCCCTTCCTGCCCCCCGCAGGTATGGCAAGCCCCCGATTGTGGCTCAACACCAAGAGGCTGCGCCAGTATGACAAACCTCATGATGGTACTACCGTTCACATGTGCAATAGCACAAGCCTCGCAGCATCCTGGCATGAGAGGCTGCGTAAGGAGATGGCATGATGAACCTCACAAAGGCTCATTATAGCAGAGTTTAATGGAAAGAAGCAAGCAGGATCACTACAGGACACCCGCTGTGCCGGTGTGATGAAGCTTGTGGAGGTGTTGCTGCTCACGCGTGCAATGGCACAACAAGCCGCAAGGAGCGCTTTTGGGAGAGGGCAAAGGGAAAGCGATTTGGCATTGCCTTCGCCCCTTGCCCTCAGCCCCTGCCTTTGGCTCTCCAAGGGTCTCTCCCAGAACCAAGTGCTGGTGGAGCTCAACCAGAGAAGTGGCCCGCAGGCTTTCAGGAGGAAAGTTGAGGCTGAGAGGAGCCAGGGCAGAGGGAGAGAAGGCAATGGGGAAGTGATCAGTCCAGTGCCACCCCAGCGCTCTTCTTTCCTCAGAAATGGAGTCTTGGAAATGGCAGCCCCAGGCAGGGTTGCTCGGGCGAGTCAGTGGAATGGCTCGGGAGGTCGCTTTGCACCTGGGACATTGGAAAGAGCCCTGCAAGGAGACAATGACGATGCCCAGAAAGACAGAGAGACAGATAGAGTGAAGTTCATTGAAGACGCTCCCTCTCTGGCCCACACAATGCTCAACCCTGGGGATGAATCAGACACTTCGCTGGACAAACCGTCCTGCACCAGCCCAGGCTTTCTAAATCTGTCACTCCCCAGATTGTCCCCCTCGCAAAGCCCACCCTGATGCAAATGCTGCCTCCAGCCACCTCTTCATCATGGTGAAACTGCTCTTTGAAAGGGCGATCTACAGGTGGGGGGTGGGGGAGATTTCCTGCACATCATCTTTTCAAAGAGGAGCCCTTCAACACACACACATCCAAAAATGCTTCTTCCATGGCTTCAGAGCCTCCAGTCTTGCAATCCTGTGCAGAGAAGGCAGAAATTTGCTCTGAAGCTGCGGCAGAGCATTGCTCAAGGAGACCTCCGCAGTAATATTTCATTTGCTAGAGGCAGTGGATAGAGCGGCACCCACGAGACAGCTGTTCCATGGACGGAATTGCCTGCTGCATCCGTCACCATTAGGTAAGGAGGGTGCTAGGCACCTGGGGTGCTTCACTTGGTCTCCTGCCGCTTTTGCAGCCACAAAAACCACCATGCTTGCTAAAGGAGGCGGCCTGAGCAGCACCCACAAAGCAGCTGTTTTGTGGATGGTGGGATAGCCTGCTGCAACCCTTCAGGAAGCTGGAGCAAGGGGCTGCTTGTCCCTGCCTTAATATTGGTACATGGGGGGGGGGGGGGAGAAATAAGACCTCCATGAAAAGAAGCCCCAGCCATTTTTTCGGGGGTCAAAAGAAAATAAGACCCGGTCTTATTTTCGGGGAAACACAGCAGAAAAATGTGACAGAATTATCAGGAGCAGTATGAAGAAATCTCTTTGCTTTTCTGTACTATTTTCCAATTAATTGATACAAAGCCCTAGTTTCAAATTGATTGAGGCCTGGATTATTTTAATTACTCAGAATACTTCTGAGCACATGGGAAGTAAAGGTACAGTTTCATATGAAAAAAAAAGCAGCCCATCACTGCTTCTTAGAAAAAATTAAGGTGAATAAGTCAGCAGAACAACTAGAGTGGCTAATTCTATAAGCAGAAAAGGAAGTGGGATGAGAAAGTGGATTGTGATACAGAATGCATAGAATAGAAATGAACTAGAGAAATATGGCTGTGTCAAGTACAAGGAGTACAGATGAAAATGTTTTCCTAAATTATGTAAATAGAGAGTTAAATAAAAAAAATTTTTTAGTGTTCTTCCTGCTTGTTTGCTTTGTATTTAGACTCTGGAGCAGTTATTTGTCTGCTAGCCTCAACGGTTTGATCTTTAGATATACAGTAGTACCCTTGAGACTTTCTGAGTGTACCAGCTCAAAAGAGAAGAACAAGATTCCTATTTGATGTTAAAGAGACACACATTGGTATTTTGAGTAATCTGGAAATGTTCATTACTTCATGGGTAGAAATTTTTCTGTTTGTTTATACAATAACAAGAACTATGAATTGAATGGACAGGAACATAGGAAACATATGTTGGATTAGCTTCTTCTCCAAGTTGTTCAATGTATCTTTTCCAACTGGCATCAGCTAGTTCTCTACTTTCTGTCTGAAAGGTATTTTTGCTAGAGAAGCCAAAGTATTATTTCTCTTATTGAACAGCATAGCAGAATTTACACGCTGATTCCTATTTTAAAAGCCTTTAAAGAGTTACAATTATCATTGTAACTTAAAAAGCTGTGCATGTTACCTTATCTTTGGAATTATCAGAAAAGATATCTTCAGTAATAAAATACAATTAATGGTTTTTAAATTATCCCTATTGGCATGTTTGCTTTCTCGGCATGTTTAAAAATAAATAAAATCTAATCTATATTGAATATTTAAAATAAACATTTTTTTCTAAAACCCAATTAAACAAACAAGGCAAACAATGGGCATTAAGTGTTAAAAAGTTAGTAGTAAGAAAACAAGCCTGGACTTCCGGTTTGAGTTTCTTCGCTGACAGACCGAAACCGTGATCGTGCGCGGTTTCGATCCGTGCTCGCCGCTGGAGCGCCCCGAGACGGCTGGTTTTGGGGCTAAGCCACCCTGTAGAGGTGGTGAAGAGTGGGGAGACTGCCAGCAGGGTTGAGGAGAGCCACATCTCTCCTCCACAGCTGGCTATTACTCCCTTTCCCGAAGGTGGTTGCAGCGGTGGTCAGAAGAGTGAGAGAGATGAGAAGAGAATATCGACTCCTGACTAAAGTTCTACTTAAAAAAGAGGTGAATTATAGATGGCTGACTCCAGAAGGTTTAATGTTCACATGGCAAGAACAGAGACATAGAATTGACTCAATTGAGAAAGCTGAATCATTTTACACATAATTTTTGGGAGGGAAAGAGGAAGAGGCAGAAAAAGAAATCTCACTAATTGAATTCCAAGAGGACTGCCAAATGGCGACTGAAAAAGAAGAAGGTGCAGTAGGTGGAAAGGTGGAAGCCAAAGAACAACGTGAACCAAGATCTACAAGAGCTGCTAAACCTAACTATAAAATATAATCATGGAAGAGAAAAAACTGATTATAGTTAATATAAATGGACTTAACTCAGCTGTTAAAAGAAGGAAAACTTTCCATAAATTAGAGAAATTAAAATTTGATATAATCTGCCTACAAGAAGTACATATCAAAAAGCAACATGAACAACTGTTGATACAGGCAAAATTAGGGAAAATATTCACTTCCTTGACACAATGCAAGAAAAGAGGAATGATTTTATACATTAAAGATATTATCCCAGCGAAATTGATCTATACTGATGACGATGGAAGAACATTAATGGTGGAAATAATGGACAATAATATGAAAACACTCCTGATTGCAATCTATGCCCCAAATGACAATCAAGAAGAATTTTATAAAAAATTACACATGAAAATAATTGAACTGGACTATGCTAAGATAGTAATGATGGGAGATTTTAATGGAATTGTAGATAATAAACTGGACTATACAGCACAGAAAACAACAAAGCAGAGCAGAAAGACTCTCCCTAAATCTTTTTTTAAAATGGTAGATGAAATAAATTTAAAAGATACATGGAGAGAAATAAATGCCAAAACTAAACAACACATCTTCTACTCAAATAGACATTTATCATGGTCCAGAATAGATATGATATGGATGTCAACAGAATTGTTCGCTAATATCCAAGAAATAAACATTGAAACAAGTACCTGGGCAGATCACAATCAAATGAAAATTAAA